CCACGCTGAAGGCGCTGGCGGTGCTCAGCCTGCTGGCGGGCGCCCTGGCGCTGGCAGAGCTTCTGGGCGCGCCGGGGCCGGCTCCCGGCCTGGCCAAGGGGTCGCACCCGGTGCACTGCGTCCTCTTCCTGGCGCTGCTCGTGGTCACCAATGTCCGATCGTTGCAGGTGTCCCAGCTGCAGCAGGTCGGGCAGCTGGCGCTGTTCTTCAGCCTCACCTTCGCGCTGCTGTGCTGCCCTTTCGCGCTGGGCGGCCCCGCAAGGGGCTTGGCGGGAGCCGCCGCGGGCACCGCGGTGGCCGAGCAGGGAGTCTGGCAACTCCTTTTGGTCACCTTCGTGTCCTATGCCTTGCTGCCCGTGCGCAGCCTACTGGCCATCGGCTTCGGGCTGGTGGTGGCTGCCTCACACTTACTGGTCACAGCCGCCTTGGTCCCCGCCAAGCGCCCACGCCTCTGGAGGACGGTAAGTGCCGCCTCGCGCCCCCCATTGGGTTTGAGACACACCTGCCAGCGGGACTGGAGGTGCCCGGAGTTGAATGGGTTTCTTCCTACCGGGAGGGTGGGGAAACTGACGTTTCTAAATCGGGGGGGTGTTCAAGGTCACTCAGCAAGCTGGGGACACAGTCGAGGCTGGCACCCTCTGCCCGGGGCTCTCTTCCGAGGTAGAGTCCACCCAACGTCTCTGGGCGTGTCTGTGGAGCTGAGTCTGGGGTGGAGGGTGGGGGAATGATTGACTCAAGGTCAGGCTGCCGCTGTCCTGTCAAGCGGGGGCCAAAGCCGAATCCACCGTTCTGGGTTGCACCCATCTCCGCAGAGGGACTTGAAAGTGGGAGGGCGCGCGGGCTCCAGGCCGGGCTTGTAGGCTGGAGGAGCGCGCAGCTCCTGGACTCCTCTCCAGCTCGCCTAGAGTGCACTTGGGGCTCGCTTCTCGGTTCTGCGGACCCGAGGGAGCAGTGATAGGGAGAGAAAGGACTTTGAATCCTTACAGTATCCCTAGCCACCCTGCTGTGGACCCCGAAGGAGCAGAGTTTGCCAAGGTCACACATAGTAGATCTCCACCTCCTCTGCTCCATGGAACCTGAACTTTGTCTTTCCACTTGGGCGGCTGAGGTGGCTGCAAGGACAAGGACTCTGGACTTGCTCCGGTTCCTTCTGGACCCGGGAGGCACCTCTTCTACCAAATTACCCCCCCCCCCAAGCAGGTGGGAGATGGGGCAAGATGTACCCAGGGGTTTGGGAGCTTTGGTTGCTCCTGCCCTGCCCAGGCTTGGCCGGCTGAGGGAACATTTTGTTTTTGGGTTTGGCTACAGTTCAGCAGGAGGGACATGAAAACCAGACGGGTGGAGGAGTCCATCTAAGGGAAAAAGGTGGCTGTTGGAGCACGTGGGGGAAGAGACAAGGGACTATGGTGGGTGAGGCTGGGCCTAGAATTTGAACGGAGGAAGAATAACTGGGTGTGTATATATGAGATGGCTGTCAGCTGTGACTGCTGACCCATAGGATGAACACCTACACCCACATCCCGATGCCAGGGACCAGCACTCTGACACAGGGGGGCAATGGTAACAAGTCCATTGCTGAGCATGTATTGTAGGGCCAAGACAGAGACTGGTGTGGGCTCAAGTCCATGGGTAGGTTCTCCAGGTGGCTTAAAAAGGCTGTTGTCTTTTTAAATAAGTAATTTTTTATACATCCTCTAGGCATTTCTATCAGAGAAAGATTAAAATGGAGAGGGAGGAGTCTGCAAAGGTGCCACAAGCCCCTCCCTCTGGTTTAGAGGCGTCCCTGTTACTCCCATGGGGCCGGAAGTCGGGTGTAAAAACAAGGGTTCTTAGGTAGCAGACACTTGGATTTCCCTGCTACTAGCTCCCTATTTCATGTGAACCCCTCCTTCAATGACAGTCCCCACCCCCTGTGGAAGGACAGCCACTCCCTGCAGGGATGTTGTGAAGATAAAAAGTTCATAAAAGAAAGCATATATTGGAAATATGCTGCCTCTTCTAAATCGTTTTGTCCTCTTTGCAGTGTTCATATTCAAACCCCATATTGACAAATAAATATAAGGAAACCTAAAGTGACAGGAAGCAGGTAGTCCCCAAGGATGCACCCATGAAGTCTGTCAGTGAACTCTGTAACTTGGTATTTGAGATGCCTGAAGAAGGTGGCACTTGAGTTAGGATGTGCCGGCATTTCTGCTGCTCCTCAGTGTCTCACTGTCGCCTCTCTTCAGACCCTGTCATCCCTGTTGCACAGCCTCCTGCTGATGGTGCTGCCCCCTTACCTCTGAATCTTATGCAGGCAGTAGCCAAGAGTGCATGGAGCATAGGCCCCCAAAAGCTAAGAGAATGAATGGTGGAAGAAATCCTGCATGGGTGGCTCTTCATACAGGCGACACTGTTTCAGGGTGTCAGGTCTCCATGGGGGCCTTCAGGAACTGAGCCTTGTGAAAGCTCATGGTAGGTGAACTCCCCCAGCCAAGGAGCTGTGCTTCCATCTCAGATCCACAGGTGAGGTTCCTGTCAAGGATATCTCTGTAGAGGCCCAGAGCAAACCGGTACTTTGCACCAGGGCCTGGGGTCAAATCCTGCTCTGTGCAGAGGAACAAGTCCCTTTCCAGAGCCACTGCCCATCTTTAGGGAGGCTCTAAGGGGTTTGGAAGGAAGTCAAGGCAGGAAGTGATACAGAAGGTCACTGCCTTGAAGTGCTGTTGAGGAGGGCATTCTTGGGAAAACGGGGCCTGGGCAGGCCTAGCAACTGGCTCAAGGTCCCTACCCACAGTGCTCTGTTGGAGCACTGGAGCAGAGGAGGCAGACAGGCCTGTGCCTACTGGCTCTGCATTCCATCCGGTGCCACAGTGCCCTTCACAGCCCCACGTGCTTGCTTTTTGCTCAGGCTGAGTCGGTATTACTGTTTTTATTCTTTTAATCTTTGAAGTAGCCAAGGTCCATTGAATTTGTGTTCATTATGTGTTTTCAGTTGGGTTGCCTATCAATGTGGAGGAAATGTATTTCAGTTTCTATCAGTTCTTAACCATAGGTTGATGGTGACGGAAATCAGGGTTGTCAAGGCATCTGTGTCTTCTTGTTTCTGTCCACCATCAAAACTGTCAGCACGACTCTCTGGGGCTCATAGTGACGTTGGATGCAGTCTCTTTCCTGCTACATCCCTGAAATCTCTTGAGTCAGGGCTGAGTTCCCGGGTGCACAGGTGGCTACAAGCATGGAGCATGGAGGCTCAGGTGCTGACTCAGACAGGGGTGGGTGGGCTTGTGAGTGGTCTCTATTACCTCAGGGGTGCTGGCATAGTCCCGTGAGTTGGAACTCAGGATGATCTCTGTGCCTCGGTTTCCCTCACTGTCTTTGGGAACAAGGACCAAGTGCTCATTCCAGTGTTCTGGAACAGCTGTATCCTCCAGGTACATGTGTGGGCTGTGTCTGGCAGGCATTCCCCGACCTGCTTGCCATCTACAATCACTGACGGATGTTGCCTGCTGTTTATTGGTAGCTGCTTAAAGCAAGTCATCTGCTAGTTTGTCTCTGGCTTGGTGAACCAGAGTGAGGTGCTGGTTGGGGTTACGTGTTAAAAGGAACTCCCAGGATGCAATGGCAGGAACAGGGCAGTGTAGCCAGAGGGGCCATGCAGTTGTGCTGGAGGTCATGTCCCCATAGCCTAGGGCTTTGTGTATCCTCCATAACAAGCATGCCCCTGTGCAGCTATGGGAGCAGAGGAGTTGTAGGGCAGGACTCAGGCCCTAGTATGGACAGGAAGAGTAGTGTGGCCCCTAGCACCAGTGAGTCTCTGTTCCCACAGCCATGGGCTCCTGTCTTCATCCTAGGGGCTGCATGAGGCAAGAGAAGAACTTCTACTCTGCAGGGCACTGCTTTACTGTGCCTGGGGTCATGAGTCATGACACCCACATGCAAGCACACATGGCCACTCATGAACACAGTCACCCACTCCCAGGCATGCACCTGCACAGATACTCATATGCACTCTGTTACATTCGCATACACACATATGCTTATGCGTAGACACCCTCATGCTCTTACATACCCACCCACATATCCACACAAGCATACCTATATGCACACTCAAACTTACTGTCACCTGCATCCCTGTACATGCATACAGAGAATGCAAATCAGCACATAGGTGCACATGGCATTTGATGCACATACACATTCCCCCCTTTGCACTCTTACACTTCTTGTCCTCATGCACACTCATGCATACACAAAGCATGTTCACACAAGCATATATACATGGATACCCACTCGCTCATGCATACATACACTCAAACATGGCTGTCTGAACACTTCTGCATGCTCATGGTCATGTCACAGATTGTTCATATGTACTTTCTTTTGGATAGATGCTTCTATAGGCCGGAGATGGAGCCAGGGAAGAGCAGCTTGGGCCCCGAGTCTCAGATGTGCCTGGGTAGAGTTCTTGGCTGAGGTCTACCTCCTGCACCCACACTTCTGTGACCTTGTGTGACTTTAGGATCTGAACTGCAGTGTGGAGTCCAAGCTCAGATCTCATCTGAATCAGGGATACTGAGTGTGTCCATGTGGAGCCTAAGGGACAAAGGCACAATGACTGGGTCTGCGATCTCAGAACTCAGTGGGAAAAGGAGTGGGACCTCCTACCACTTAACTCAGGCCAAGATGGGCTTACATCCTATGTCCCCCAACATTTGGCAGTATGTAGTATGTCCCTTCTGTTGCCCTCTTTCCCTGAGGTTCTTCCTCTGCCCCTTTAATCCTCCATTTCCCTGTGCCCTCTTCTCAATTGCACCAGGACCTACTATATGTTCTTATGCTAAGGGAGCCCTACCACACCTTCTTACCATGTGCTGTGTAAGAGATGCCAGCCACAGGAGGAGGGTGGAAGACCAGGCAAGGGCTGAAGGCAGCACAGACCCTGAATGATCTCTGTTCTTGGACTGGAGAAAGGGCCAGAACCTGCATTGATGTTCAAGTTGAGTGTTTTGCTTGTCTTTAGTTTGTGATAAGGAGAAAGGTTGGAGCTATGCTGCCTGTACCCCAGAGCTCAGAACTGAGGAGACCCTGCATGCAACACTCAGCACTCCAATGTGACCTGTATGTGTATGCACACCCATGTATGTACATATGTGCTCATGTATGTGTGTGTCCTGTGAACACTTGTTAATATATACACATATATGCTCATATGTACCAGTGCATGGCCATACACATGTCTCATATGTATGTCTGTTGCATGTATCCATGTATATATGCTTCAGTATGCATATGTGTACAGAAGAGATGGTGACATCCAGAAGATGGTTCAGGTGACCTGTGGGGTGACAGGGTCCCTGGATGTCCCTGCTCCAGCCTCTGAGCTTTGCAGAGGTGGGAAATCTATACTAGTAGCATTCTGTGGCTCTGAACAAAGCTTTCACTCTAGGAACACAGAGTATCCCTTAATCAGAGTGCAGTG